ACTCTGGCAGTATCGGATTCACGAACAGTCCGTCAACTGTAGGTCCGATCGCCTCCCTCCAAACAAGTAGTCGAGTTCACAAACGGTATGATTTATTCAAATGCAACATTTACAAAGCAGGTTTCAGATGTCAGTACAGGAAATTCTCTACTAGAGCATGGGGTTTTTCGCTAGCTCTGATGTACAAATGTGCAATCATCACTCACCCCAGAAGATGGGAGAGGGCTCTCAGTCTCCTCAGGCAGCATCCCAGCGCGAGGGGAGGGAAAGGGGCTCAGCCTGTTGACTGACCCAGGAGTTACGATGGATTCTTCCTCTCTCCTCTTCCTTCTTCCTTAGTTCCTCTTCCTCCATTCTTACTGTCCTGTTCTTACCCCATTCTTCCTTCCTAGTGCTTACCCCATTCTTCCTTCCTACCATATCACTCCTTAGTTCGCTTTTTATATATTTTCTTTTACATTTAGGTGGAGCTTGAGTGACTCTAGTCATACTTACTTTTGTTATTCATTGATTTAAAAAAGTCTCCCGAGTTAATCGAAAATCTAGAGAGCATGCTTAGTGAGGAGTTGTGCTCAGTGGGATGGGGTTATGTATTTGTATTATAATGGGATTAGAAGGAGGAGAGTTTGAGCAAAGCCTATTGGAGGGAACTGGTCTGCCACCATTGTTGGCCCAGCACCAGACATCGCACTATGTGGCCCATCAGCTGTGTGGCACCACCAGGCTGCCACCTCTGCAGGGAGTACAACAGAGTTTGGCCATGTGGTGTCTTCGCTCCACCCTCCATTCACTCTTCTTAGTATGTGCTAGGAGGGCAGATTGTGTTGCCTAGGGAATCGTGGAGAGGTAGATTCCACACATACCAACCATCCTGGAAGTGGCAACTCTCTCTCCCCTCAAGCAAGCCTCTGCAATGCCAGAACTTCTGTCAGACTCCATCTTTCTCCAAGTCCCCCCTCTTCTCGAGCAATTCTCTCACGTTGGTGGTAATATTGTTTAATATAGGCTTTGTGGAATGTTGGTTTTCAAGAATTTCTTGCTCGGGAAGGGTGCTCTGGCCCTGGGCGAACTGACTAGTTCGTGAATGTGTGTTCAGAATAGCAAATGGCCCAGTCGTTTGGACACTTACTTCAAACAAACTAATTCTGGGTGTAAACCATACCGTCTACTCCAGAGCAGGGTATTTCATCCTTGATATCTCAGAACAGGCAGTGTCTCAAATTTTGTGTCATTTTTCATAGGACTTTCCTGATAAGAGTAATATGAGTAACTTTATTGGAGAACATTTAAACTAGAGATTTCTGTCAGCAAAACTGTGTTTTGGAGTGTGATGAGACATTTCCAACACTGCTTTCGAGCCTTAAGTACTATGCAGTTGTCCAGACAAAGCAGCCTTTTTATTGATTTAACTTGTTTAGATCAGGATGAGGAGAAGCAAAAGAAAGCTATACCAGCAAGAGGTGCTGCTCGGCTATTGTAAACAATATGGATATAGATCCTGCTTCGACTGGTGTATGTGGTGTATATCTGTTTAGTCTTATCTGATTTTCATTCTGATAGAAGCTTTCAAAACAAACTTTCACTTCTATTTCATAGAAAAAAATGGTTTCTGGCATGATTTTTATCAACAGCCCAGCTGTTCTGTTTTTGAACTGTAATTAAAAAAAAATTCTTGGTTATATTAATCTAAAGGAGTACTTTCTCTTCTGACGTGTGTTTGACTTTTGGAAGATGCACAGGAACTAGTAGAATAATTGGTTAATAGTCTGACATAGTCAGTGACTTCTGTAGGGCCAGAACAGTGGCTATGTGAAAGATGGTATTTTCTAGAGTATGGGAATTTAAGGTTGAATCCCTGTGCAAACATAGTAGATGGCTGCAGCAATAATAAGTAATTCCAGCATGCAGCTCCAGAGTATGCTGTGGCTTTGTGAAGGACATACCTGTTTTCCCTTTTAACAGGTGGCGAGAACAACAGTTGGCTTTGTAGTTCTGTTGTTCCCTCCACTGCTGCGTAGGTGTTTTTAGTGTTTTTTGTTTGTTTGTTTTTCCTTTAAACCTAGTATTTTGTAGTTTGGGGCAGAAAGAAATCTGACTAAAGCCTTGTATGTAAAGGAAAATTGAATTAAGGGTGAGGAATGGTTGAATTATAAGAGTTTAACCTTTCGGATCTAAGCACTCTGTCATATTTTGCAGTCAGTGATTTGCCATGCATCTGTGCTTGGGTTTAATTGATAGACTATGCCTTGTGCTTCGGAAAGGCTGTTTTGGGGCTGGACTGTCTGGTGGCTGCTGTCATCTTCATTAGATGCAGACTTTCTACTGCACTATCTATGTTTGTCTGTTCAGAAACAGGTTATTACAATTCACTCCACAATGCCTGCTTTAGGAAAATCCAGTCTGAACTGAAGACTGAATAGGCTTAAAACAGTCTTTGAGATAGATTTGTCACCTCTGGTGGGGTTAAATAAGTGAATTGGGGAGGAGAGAAAAGCTTACAATTTAGATCCTTTCACCCTTGGGTTCAGGGGGCTTTCCAGTGTCAATTATGTGGGGAATTGGGCTTTCTGAAAACCTATGCACTCCTATGAGTACTGTTCATTAGAAATAAGTAGCTTGAGAGAGGTTGCACATGCAAATATATGAAAATTTTATTTGAAATGTTTTGGATACATCAGTTTTAACTGAAAACTTTCATTAGTTTCACAGGTTGTTCACCTCCAGTTTCATGTATATGTACTTTTTTAGATGGTATCATGGAAAACTTGACAGAACAATCGCAGAAGAACGACTTCAGCAAGCAGGAAAACCTGGTAGTTACCTCATTCGAGAGAGTGATCGGAGACCAGGCTCGTTTGTACTTTCCTTCCTTAGTAAGGCAAATGTCAATCATTTTAGGTGAGAATTAAATGTTTTCTTTTAAATGTGGTAATCTGTTTATGGTTTTAGAACTCGGTATACTATAGAAAACAATCATTGTAATTGAGTTTTTTTTTGACCATTTTTTATTCATCTATGATATAGTTCTTGGGTTTAATTGTTTTTAAAACATGCTACTTAAAAAGCAGAGGTTGTTTTGGGTGTTTTCATCAGTTGCTGCAGCCCACGGGACATACTCGAATAGCACAGTTCTAACAAACCCGGGTGCTCTCATTTACTTTGAGAAAGAAACATCAAGGAGAAACAAAGAGCTTATGTATTTAATAATCCAAGGGTTTTCTGGAACAGCTTTTGGTATGTGTTAGAATTAGTTGCTCTAAATACAAATAGCCCTTTATCCAAAATTGTAGCTAGGATTACCATTAGCAATTTATGTATATTAATGAATTCCTTTGTTGCCTTTAGCATAAGTAAGGTGTGTTCCAGGAAGAGCTTGAATGTTAGTCAGCAAGTAATGTGCTACAGTGTAATGTTAATCTCCACAAAACAGGGGTTCGGTGCCTCTGCAGCAGCAGAAAAAGCCCTGTGTCAACTATCTAGATAGTGAGAAACTAATGCAAATCTGTCAAGTTTGAAAAGGGAAATTAACCAGGATACCAATGTATGTACCAGACATGCCCTAAAACGGTTTCATTTGCATCACAAATGTGGGGAGTTCTTGAATGGGTGTCACTCTAATGAGCTGTGGCTCAGAGGCCCAGGTTCTGCATTGACATGAGCTTGTCGTTCTTGGTGCAGACAAAACAATACAGAAGAAACTTGCTCATGTTGGCAGGGTGCTGTTTTTGAGCTGACAGTCACAGCTGCTCAGTTGTGCTGATTCATTTTGGGAACTGGTTACTGTGTAGCAGGCAGTAGCAGAAAATTAAACAGTGCCAATACTTGCTTTTAACTGTTTTGGTT